TGATCTTTTTCCTGTTGGTCTTTCTTTCAAGAAGTATCTTCTGTTCTAGCTGCTCCTGGCTCGGCTGCCGGTCCTTTGAAGTGGAAATTTCCCACCTCTGAAGATTCTGGATACTGTTCAGGATTCCACCTATAGTCTTATGTAATGCAGAGGCTTTGCAGGAAGCCTCATTCACTGGGCACGTTGTAACCCCATTTTAAGTATTCCAATCCGTTATAGGCAGAAGACAGACTTACAAGCTTTCTATGGTGATATTTCTGGCTGTTCCTTATGATTCAACTTTTGAATTGGATAAAAGATAGCACTAAGATAGAGACTATCTGTATCTGGTCAGAAATCATATTCTGCACCTAACAATTTAAAAAGTTTGTTTTTCCTTCAGTTCATTGTTCAAGTTTGCTTTCTGATATAGTTCTTCTCACCTTTGATTCCTTTGCCTTCGCTCCTAGCCATTTAGAACTTTTCTGAATTGTGCCTACTCAGATTTCTCACTGGAAGATTCTGATCTCTATGCCCTTTTTCCCTTGGGTCTTAATGAGTCTATGACAGTAAGCCAGCGTTCTTGCACTTTGTCCTAACACACACTGCTACGGGAGTATAAAAAAAATCTTTCAAACTGGAGTTCAATTTGAAAACATAAACCCACCTCTTAATTCATTACATGAAATGATGTGTAGTAAATTTGTGTAATACTATGTAAGAAAGATAGGGAGCTTTCTTGAATAATATAGATGCATTATTTTTTAAATACAGTTTGATTTTAAGTACTATCCTCTTATTTGGAAGTTTTATATCAAACCTCAGTTTATACCAAAGCAGTTTAGACCAAAGTTGTTTGCATTAAGTGTGTACATGGCATATACAAATTGATTTACCCTTCATTAAATCAAGTTAACTTTCACCTATTTGAAAGTGGTGGTGGTTATGTGCCGTGGAGTCAGTTCTGACTCATAGGGACCCTGTACAGGGTTTCTGAGGCTGTGAATCTTTATGGGAACAGAAAGCTTCATCTTTCTCCCGCGGAACAGCTGGTAGTTTCGAAGTGCTGACCTTGAGGTTCGTAGCCTGATTCATAACCACTACGCTATTTGAAAGTGGAGTAGACCTTAATAAAAGTTACATAGACAGTCATGCTTTCTAGAATTCTTAAGTATGTTTTAAAATTTTGTTTAGTGCTGGTGCTGGTCGGACTGGCTGTTATATTGTGATTGACATCATGCTGGACATGGCTGAAAGAGAAGGGGTTGTTGACATCTACAATTGTGTCAAAGCCTTAAGATCTCGCCGAATCAATATGGTCCAGACAGAGGTATGTTGATTGACGTAGAGTACAATGTTTGTTTGTTGTTGTTTTTTTTTCTGTTGCCTTGTAATGTGTATCAAACAAAAGAGTAGGTTCTTCTTAGTTCAAGTCATATTGGAAAATATCAGAGTTTTTTTTTTCATTAATATTTCCATACTGAAAAAAGTGATATAATCTCTGCCTTTGATATCAGATATGTTTTATTAGAATCATATGAAAATTTTCTGTTTCCTTCTTTTGATAGGAACAGTATATTTTTATTCATGATGCCATTTTAGAAGCTTGCTTATGTGGAGAAACTGCCATACCTGTCTGTGAATTTAAAGCTGCATATTTTGATATGATTAGAATAGACTCCCAGACCAACTCTTCACATCTCAAAGATGAATTTCAGGTATTTGCTATTTTTAGAGCATCATTTATAAGCAACTTATTACAATTTGTACATTATTCATTTTTTAAAGGACTATCTTTTAAATCAAATTTATAACCTTTGACCCTATGATAAGTATAATATAATGCCTGTCTCTTTTATTATACATAATACAGAGTCACTTTTGTATTAATGAGCTCATGTCTGTAATATCTTGAAGGGCAAATAAGTTCAGGCTCAGGGAAGTACATGGGGGGAAAGTATCATAAAAATACACATAAGTCACCATTTGCTGGTGATTTATGTGTATTTGCAACCATATATTCTCATGCAATCTTATGGATTTTGACCTTCTATGTTACTCACACTGTCATAGCTAAAGTTTATGCTACAGATTGTCTCTGAATAGCCCCAAATACTTTCAATGTCTTTAAGACATCCTGAATGTGCATGGCTATGAATTTAAGACCCACAACTGAAACCTGATTCTTTGCCCAGGACTCTTTCCATCACTCCATGGCATAGTTCCTAACGTTGTTGTTGTTGTTATGTGCCGTGGACTCGGTTCCTACTCATAGCGACCCTGTACAGAGTTTCCGAGGCTGTAAATCTTTATGGGAGCAGAAAGCCTCATCTTTCTTCCGCAAAACAGCTGGTAGTTTCGAACTGCTAACCTTGTGGTTTCCAGCCCAATTCGTAACCACTACGCTACCAGAGCTCCTTATATTTCCTAATACAGCATGCCAAAAGTTGCATTTTCCAACTTCATGGAAGGGTCATGATAATGGACCATCTACATTGTTGTTTCCTTGGTTATGCAGTACATTTTGTGTGTCTATGTTATCACACTTTCCCAATTTCTTCTAAGAAAGGGCATTTTGAACAATGTATATTTTGTTTCTTTGTCACTTCTCAGGCTTCATTAGCTTTAACTATAAAGCCTATAAGCCTGTCATAGTGGTAAATGCTATTACTTTGTATAAATCCTTTACTTTCTACTTGACTTCCTAAATACTTCATGGATCTGTGCTGTGTTATTAAACGGGTCAGTCTTTTAACCTGGGATCCATTTTCTTTTTAGACCTTGAATTCAGTCACTCCTCGACTCCAAGCTGAAGACTGCAGCATAGCATGCCTGCCAAGGAACCATGACAAGAATCGTTTCATGGACATGCTGCCACCTGACAGATGTCTGCCTTTTTTAATTACAATTGATGGGGAGAGCAGTAACTACATCAATGCTGCTCTGATGGATGTAAGAGACTGCCCTCTTTGTTAATGTAAAGTGCCTTGAAACCATGAAAAGCTTCATAATGCAACAGAACACTGGCTAGTTTTCTTTTCTGGAAAATTTTAAGTGACCCAAAAAGGAAAAAAAAAATAGAAATTTTCATTGAAATACTTTTTTTTTTTTTCTTTTCTTTTTTGAGAATGACGTTGGATTTCCCTTATAGTGACTCTTAGAACTCTAATTTTATAGCTTTGTTGAAGGTGTGGAGTTTGATTGGGAATTTTTATATTCTCTGCAAAAAGTAACTACTACAGGTGATAGTTTTCATCTTTATTATTTTCAGAAAAGAAAATCCTGTTTATTTCCAATACAGTTAAGAATGAAATTTAAAAAAAAAATTTTAAATGACTACATGTCATATTCTAAAGATGTTTTGTTAATTTTGGAAATTTTTTTCTTTGACACTTATTGTTCCAAAAATTGATCTCTCAGTTCTTTTATTGACCACAAGTTAATAGAGCCTATTGGTAGATAATGTAAAATCTTTGTATTCATTCAGATTACTCTATGGACAGAGAAGGCATAGAAGCATATCCATTACAACCAACCAACTCTCCTCACTCCAATCTTTTTTTTATTTTAAATCTTTAATTTTTTATTTTGGGGGTAAGTGGGTAGAAGTAAGGGGTGATGTTTAGGATTGGGACTATGGCTGTTAGTGGTAATGGTTGGGCAAGGGCTAGGGGTAAGGCTTGATCTAGTTTTTAGTGTTACAGTTAGATTTTTGTTATTTATTTATCTTGAAATTACTTGATTTACTCTTCATTTGGAAGTTCTATAACTACATTATTCCCTCCTTTTACTTTATGGGTATTTTTGCCATTGTTACAACTGTATTTTTGGTTTTCTATTTTCAGTCTTATAAGTTTGTTTAACTTTGCATACTTCTATATCTGAGGTTAGTCTATGTGATATTGTCATGTATCTTAGCTGCAAGTTGTCTGCTGTTGTTGGTTCTCTGTCCAAAGAACTCCTTTTAGTAATTTTATAAAGTTGTTCTGTTTTTTACAAATTCTATTTGTCTGAAAATGAACAAATTTTGCTGTCATATTTGATGGACAGTTTTTTTTTTGATATATGGTTCTTGGTTGGCTTTTGTTTTTTGGCAGAGTTTTATATATGTCATTCCATTGTCTTCTTGCCCGCATGCTTTCTTCTCACAAATCTGAACTTACTTTTATTAGTTCTCCGTTATAGGTAACATTTCTTTTTCCTGAGTTGCTCTCAAGATTCTTTCCTTGCCTTTGGTTTTCAAAAGTTGGATTATAATGTGTCTTGGTGGTATATCCTATTTGGAGTTCCTTCAGCTTCTTGAATGACTATCTTCTTATCTTTCATGATATTAAAGAAGTATTCTTGCAACAGTTCTTGGATAATATTCTCTGGGGTTTTTGCCTCTTCCTGTTCAGGAATTCGTATTACTTATACGTTATTTCTCTTGATAGTGCCCCACATAAATCTTATATTGTTCCTCTAGCAGATGATTATTGAGATTTTTCTTTAAGCTCAGTATTTTGGTTTTCCATTGATTTAATTCTGTTTCTCTTGTTATTTTTAATTCTGTTACCCTTTCATTGTGTTATCTATTTTTTAAGTTTTAGTGTTAATCTTCTGGCTTTTTAGTTGCTGTTTTTGTGTGGTTTCTATTTTTTCTCTTATTTGGTCAGTTTGTCTCCTGAAATTTTCCATACATTTGTCTGTTTTCCTTGATTTCATCTGTAGTTTTCTTGATATCTCACTGTCCATTGAAGTGGCTTAATTCTTTTTCATTCCTTTTCAGGAAACTCTGATACCACTTTGGTGTTATATTTTCTGACTTTGCACTTTGGTCACTTGTTTGAGGCACTCTGTCTTATTTCTTTGTGTAAGCTGAATTTTTCTAACAGACGTTGTTGTGTCCTATTTATAGTTAGTTGAGGACTGTATATTGGTTGCAACGTCTTGAAGTTAGAAGTAGCCAGATGAATTTCCATCTATTTTGATTCATGGAATGGAATGCTATGGTTAATGCATACACCACCTCTCTCCTGGTGGATGTGGTAGAGACCTGAAGTGTGAACACACTGTGTAGCTTAGTTTAGGGCAAATTCATACACCCTCAGAAGCAGGGGTGCTATGCCAAGCACCTGACCCCAGGCAGAGCAGAGGTTGTACAGACATGTCAGTGGCCCCTGGGTTGGCAAAGGCTGTAAGTGGCCACGACCCCAATCTACCAGGAGGGCAAGTGAACAAGGGGGAACTGCACACTCTTGTTGTCAGCCTCCTGCTGCATCCTGTGACCACACCACAGGCTGGCACGTCAACAACCACTTACAAAAGCTTACAATGACCGGGCTGCTCTACACCAGCTCACAGTCTACCTGATTGTCTTTTCTCTCACTGTGCTTGTTCAGCTTCCTCTTCCAGTTGGCACTTAATCCAAATCTCTGCCATATCCTCTGATGCTCAGGTTTCCAGAATCACCATCTGTATCTATTTCACTCAGTCTCCATGCCTTTGTTGCAGAGGATTGGCTCAGTGTGTCTGTTTACTGTGCCAACTTGCCCCAGACTCCCCGACTCCAATCTTAATGACCACAGATGACAGAACATTCATGTTATCAGCATGTTAGCAGCCTTTCACTAGAATAACATGAAAAGAGAGTTTTTAATGATATCTTTATCCATCTTGGTTTGGCTGCCTTGAGAAGAATCAAGAATCTCAGAATTCTGTGTAATAGTTTATCACCTTCATTATGTAAACCCTTTTACCTATGCAACCATAACCAGGAGAAATTAGAAATCAGGATTAATCACTTTTTTTCTAATGATGAGGCTTTTAGAATTGTTCTTATATATATATATTTAAAACTTAGCTACTATAAATTAGAAGCCTGGTGGTACAAACTTGAAAAACCCAAATTTCACTTTTTGTTGTTAAACTTTTTATTGAATATTGAGTGAAGGTTTACAGGGCAAATAATCCATTTTACATTCAATAAATTATATGGCTTGCTTCATCACAATGATTGCAATCCCCTCCAGGTACCATCAGTTAAGAGTATTTGCCTGCATTCATTTTAACTCTTGCATTCCTCCCCGAGTCTTCTGCTACCTTCATCTTTCCTCTTTTTAAATCAGTCTTTTAGTTTTTTATAATGCTTCCTAAAAGAGTCAGACAACACTCACTTGAAAATTTTCCATTCTTGCTGTGATCAGTCTCACCTAACCTTTAATCACATCTGCTGAAATCATACTATAGTCTAATGATACCTTTTCATCCCATTTTAGTTGTCTTCAAAGGCAAATATACTAAATTCAGAGCTAACATACCACATTTATTAATCTCTGAGTCTGGATTTGATGAATGGATGTATGGAAAGATAAAAAAAAATAATACAAGAAAAGGTATTGATGCCTCAGTATGTTTTGTCTTTGGCATTTTTATCACATTTTTCTCAATGTTCAGATTATCTTTTCATTGTAAATACAGAACCTTATACTCTACCTATTCCTATTCTGTGTGACTTTACAAAATACATTACATCAAAATACATTACATAGTTGAACTTTTCTGTAATTTTAGTGGTTTAGTTGGGCCTTCAGAGAAGTAAAGGTTGGTTTGGTTTACAAAACACAGGGCTCTGTGTCCCGTCCCCCCCCCACCCCCACTTTCTACAACAAATCCGTCATTAGTATTAATACGCCATTTTTGTTATGCCTTTTAAGGAAAACAAAATGGGCTGTTGGCATTAAGTGATGGAAAACATAAAATATTAAATCTTGTTCCACATTGTTGTCTCTTTATGTCTATCTTTCCTGATAACTATTTACTCACAAAATGAGTAAATAGTTATCAGTTTGCTTGCCTTACCTTCACATAGATCAGATGTTTAATTGGGAGAAAGCTTAATTGTTTTTTGGATCCTTTCTCATTATCTTCATACCATTGTTTGGTGATATTTACCCCAGTAGCAAGTGTAACTTTGCAATGTCTTGAAGTTAGAAGTAGCCAGATGAATTTCCATCTACTTTGATTCATGGAATGGAATGCTATGGTTAATGTGTTCCAAATGGTGGTAGGCCCAAAGAAGTCCAAGGATCAGTTTCTACACTGATACTAATATAGATGAAAACACTTAAAGAAGTGTTTGAAACCAGTGATTTAGGAAAACACTGCCAATTCTTTTTCATCATTAAGGAAATCTATCACAGGGAACTTCTAGCTTTTTGTTTTGCTTTGTTGCAAATCATTAGCTAATATCACCTGAAAATTTCCATAGAAACATACATGCCTATTTAAGCATACATCATCAATCTGCATGTTTCAGATTCCCAAGACCAGGTAGGTTGAGGTTGAACAAGGCTATGTTCTGTCATCTTGTTTTGCCTATCATCCTAGAAAAAATAACTCTTTTTTTGCGGTCTACTTAGTGCCACATATTTTGCATTTTTGTGGGGTTTTTTTGTTGGTGATTTAGCTGCTTAGAATAGCCCCTAAGTATAGTGTTGTGGTGCTATCTAGTGTTCCTAAGCACAGAAATGCTGTGATGTGCTTTACAGAGAAAATAACGTATTAGACAAATTTTGTTTGTGTATGAATTATAATATGGTTAACCTTGGGTTCAGTGTTAATGAATCATTAGTAAATATTGAACAGTAACTCTCTAAACAGAAGCAGAAAAAAAAATATGTGTTAATCATATAATTTGTTGATCAGATAGCTGTTGTAACCAGAAGCTCGCAGAAACCCCTGTTTCACCTGAAAGAAGTAGTTTAGTATTTATATATAACTGTCAGTAGATAGACATGCACACACACAAACACACACACACTAAGAAATGAGCTTACTTTGTCTTCAGTCTCACAGATAGTGATTACTTTTGGAAAATGGAAATAGTATAAGAGGAACCTAATGAAGTTCTTTCTTTTCCTTTTTTTAAATTTTGGGCCTGTATTTATTCCTCGCAACAAAGTACAAATTTAATTCTTGACTTTAGAATTGTTTACAAAGGTAAATCAAAGTAATACCATAAAATTGAATAATTACAATTGTTTTTGTTGTTGATGTGAAGTGCCGTTGAACCGACTCCGACCCATAGTGACCCTGTATAGGGTTTCCTGGTGAGCTTGAACCACCAACTTTGCAGTTCAAATGGCTTTGCAGTCTGGCACATTAACCCACAGTGCCAATTGTTTTTAGGTGCCATCTAATTGACTCCAATTCATAGCAACATTCTATACAACAGAACAAAATTGTGTCTGAGTCCCTTGTTGCAACCACTGTGTCAGTACATCTTGTTGGGGCTCTACCTCTTTTTCACTGACTCTGCACTTTACCAAGCATCATGGCCTTCTCCAAGGACTGGTCCTTCCTAATAACATCCAAAGTATGTAAAATGAATCTCACCATCCTCATGTCTAAGGAACATTCTGGCTGTACTTCTTCCAAGACAGATTTGTTCTTCTGGCATCCAAGGTACTTTCAATATTCTTTTCCAACATCATAATTCAAGTACATCAACTCTTTCCTCATCTTCCTTATTCATGGTCCAACTTTGATAAGTATATAAGGCAATGAAAATACCATGGCTTGGATCAGGTGCACATTAGTCTTCAAAGTGATATCTTTCCTCTTTAACACTTAAAAGAGGTCTAGTACATACAACAGAATTTTTTTGCCCCCCGTGCAATACATTGTTTGATTTTTTGACTGCTGATTCCATGAGCATTGGTTGTGGAGCAAATTAAATCCTTCAGTCCTTTCTCTGTTTTTCATAATGCATTGATTCAGTATTGGTCCAGTAGTGAGACTCTTCATTTTCTTTACATTGACTTGTAATCTATACTGAAGATTATAGCCTTTGATCTACCTCAGTAAGTGCTTCAAGTCCTTTTCACTTTCAGCAATCAAGGTTGTGTCATCTGTATATAGTAGGTTCTTAATGAGCCTTCATCCAATCTTGATACCACTTTCTCATATAGCCATGTTTCTTGGATTCTTTGCGCAGTGTACAGATTGAATAAGTATCATGAAAGGATATAACCCTTTCCTGATTTTAAACCATTCAGTATGCCCTTATTCTATTCTAACAACTTGGTCTTTGTACAGGTTCTGGAATTACCATTCTTTGCAATGCTATCCATAGTTTGTTATGATCCATGCAGTCAAAGGCCTTTGCATAGTCAATAAAACCCAGGTAAACATCTTTCTAATATTCCCTGATTTCATTCAAGATCCATCTGATGTCAGAAATGATATGCCTCATTCCATATCCTCGTTTCAATCTGACTTGAATTTCTGTAGCTCCTTGTCACTGTACTACTACAACTGTCTTTGAATTACATTCAGCAAAATTTTACTTGTGTGTGATAATAATGATATTATTTTATAATTTATGAAATATATTGGGTCACTTTTCTTTGAAATGGGCACAGATAATGAATCTATCCCAGTCTTCAGGCTTGATAGCTGTTTTCTAAATTTCTTGGAGTAGACTAGGAAGTATTTCCAGCACTATGCTAGTTTGTTGGAAGATTTCACTTGGTATTTTGACTATTCATGGAGATTATTTATCTATTTACTTATTTGACCAGTGCCTTCAGTGCAGCTTGTACTTCTTCCTTTTATACAGTTGCTTTTTTATCCTGTGCTGCTGCTGAAATGATCGTTGACCAATTCTTTTTGATACAGTGACTCTGTGTACCTTCCATCTTCTTTTGATGCCTCATTCATTGTTCAATATTTTGCCCATAGAATCTTTCAGTATTGCAAGTTGAGACTTGAATGTTTTCTTTGGTTCTTTTAGTTTGAAGAATGCTTACATGTTCTTTCCTGTTTGTTTTCTATTTCCAGATCTCTGCATATTTCATTATAATACTTTGCTGTCTCAAGCTGCCCTTTGAAATTTACTATTTAGCTCTTTTACCTCATTATTTCTTCCATTTGTTTTAGCTACTGTACATTTAAGAGCAAGTTTCAGAATGTCTTCAGACATCTATTTTGGTCTCTCCTTTATTCCCTGTTTTTTAAATGACCTTTTTTACTTTATTCATGTATAGCTCTTGATGTCTTCCCACAACTCCTTTAATCTTTAGTCGTTAGTGGTCAATGCATCAAATTTTCCCAGATTTATAATTCATAAATTTCATGTCCTTATAAATGGATTGTTATGGACGTTTTCTTTTCATTTTGATTCATGCTTCATCAACAAATGAAAATCCCAGAAACTTGACACTATTAAGGTTGATTCTGCTTTTAGGAGGCAGTTCTTCCTTTGTTGCACTTTGAGTGCCTTCCAGCCCGAGTTACTCATTTTCTGGTATATTGCCCTGCTATTCATTAGGCTTTCAGAGGTGAATCTCTCAGATATGGACAAAACCTATTCCTTCTTCCTAATTTGTTCTTAGTCTAGAAACTCCTCTGAAACCTATTTACCATGGGTGACCCTGCTGGTATGTGAAACACCAATGGCATAGCTTCCAGCATCACAGCAACACACAAGCCACCAATACACAGCAATCTGATAGACGTTTGGGGGAACAATTGTCCATTTTAGTAGATTCCAGTGGTCTAGATATGTTATTCATGGTTTATGCATCAATGAAATTCAAACTCTATATAAAGCGAGTAGGTTTTATTAGTATATTGAATCTGCTTATGCAACTGATCATGGATTTCCAGTTCTTACATTTCTCCGTTTGCCTTGTTACTTCACAGAGCTACAGGCAACCAGCTGCTTTCATCGTCACTCAATACCCTCTGCCAAACACTGTGAAAGACTTCTGGAGATTAGTATATGATTATGGCTGCACTTCCATTGTGATGTTAAATGAAGTCGACTTGTCCCAGGTTAATTAATACTCATAAATAGCCTTTGGGTACTTGTACACATAAAAAGTAGTAGTAAAATGCTAAAAAATCTGCTTCTCACTACCCTAGTTAGAAAAAAACAATGCTGATTTTCTTTTTCTTTCAAAATTTTGATTATTTAGGGCTGCCCTCAGTATTGGCCTGAAGAAGGGATGCTGCGATATGGCCCTATCCAAGTGGAATGTATGTCTTGTTCAATGGATTGTGATGTGATCAACAGGATTTTTAGGATATGCAATCTAACAAGAGTAAGTCATTGCTTACTTGTTCTAACTGAGCTGAAAACAAACAAGAGTTAAGATCATAACTATGACGAGTTATAATTACCTTCTGATAACATGGAGAACAGCAATAATATGTAATCAGAATCCAAATCAAGTGATCCTCTGACACTTTAATACTTGAATACAATAAGCATGCTAAAAACAAGAATGCCAGGATGTTGGAAGCTAGATTTGCTCGTGAGTTACTAGATTAGTCTTGTCTTTCTGGAAATTTAGATTCAGATGTACTGATTCAATTTAGTTTGATTTTCTATGCTTAGACCCTGAATGTATATAGGCTTATCTCAAGAATGACTGAATTTTTTTTTTTTTTAGTATTTACATCCAGTCCAGAAAAGACTTACAACTGAAAAATAATAACATAGTGATAATAGCATCAACAATAGAGAAACTGTATGTTGGATCAGCAGGACCCTTGTAGAAGAGCTGCATGTCATTATTCTAACTCCTGCATATAAGAAAATCACACAGGCATGCATAGAAATGTAAATCACAGCTGTCACTCCTTCTCTTCCAACCACAATTTCATCTTTCTTAATGTCTCAACATCTGGTTGTGCCCAATTCTGAAGATGGAACCAGTGCTGCTCCTATTAAACCTTTTCCAGGAACAGAGTAGCAACTATGTCCTTCAGAAGTTCTTCTTTCCCTGAAGTGTTGTTGTTGTTGTTGTTGTTTTTTAATGTGCTTTTTATAAAATGACAAATTAAGTTTGGATCTCTCCTTCATAAAAACGATATACTAATAACAGCTGTGTAGATTATACAACCAAATAGCAAGCTAAATTTAAAAAGAAAACATAAGTAACTTCCTTGAAATTGTGTTATTTTTACAAAGAAAGATTGCTCTGTTTTTCACAGTATCAGCTCTATGTTTGCATATTATTTAGGTATGTGATTAAGATTGTCATGTTTCAATGTTTTTCATCAAAATGGTTGTATGTGTGTCTGGTAAATATGTCTATAAGTATATCACTATAAGCAGAAGATAAAATAATATCCAATTCTATTGCTCATTTCAGTAGAGAAAAAAGGAATAACTTCAATCATGTCATAATATTCATGCATATCTTAGATGTTAATTTAAATGGAATCTCATTATGTTTGCACATCTGTTACATTATGGTTCTAGTAATATTTTAGATAAGAAACCAGAGCTGCTGAAGTAAGAGAATAAGATCCATCTGTTTATTAAATTGTTTATGTACATATACATATGTATATAAAATCCTAGGTATTGAAATCTGTATTACATTTATTTTGTTGACATTTTATTTACTTTATTTTTACATTTACTTTAATTCTGTTTGGTGTCACACTTTAGGATAAGCACTGAACTGCTAACTGCAAGTTTGGTGCTTCAAACCCAGCAGCCATTCCTCAGAAACCCTATACAGGGTCGCTATGAGTGAGACCCAACTCAGCGGCACTTAACAACAGCAAGATGGTTGATGTACTAGTCCCTGTCAGTGTATTGGATTATATATTGGGCTCCTAACCTCAAGGTCAGCCATTCAAATCTCCCAGACGCTTGATGGAAGAAAGATGAAGCATTCTGCTCCCATTGAGATTTGTAACTTTGGGAACCCTACACAGGGTCACTATGAATTGGAACCAACTCATTGGCACATAGCAGCAGCAGCAATCCCTGTTAGTGCATGGGTTTGTTTTTTTTTTCAAGTTCTCAGTCTCACTGATACAATATCATTCATTCAGTGAATATGTAGTACACATCAATGGTAAGAGGGTATTGTACTATATGTTAAGTACCGTGGAGTCGGTTCCAACTCATAGTGACCCTGCACAGAGTTTCCGAGGCTATAAATCTTTACGGGAACAGAAAGCCTCATCTTTCTCCCATGGAACGGCTGATAGTTTCGAACTGCTGACCTTGAGTTTAGCAGCCCAATTTGTAACCACTATGCTACCAGAGCTCCTTATTGTACTGTATAGGGCCTGGGTTTTACCAAAAGATGCAGAAGACTTTGCCATATGAAGCATCAGTTCTGATACCTTATATGACTTAATCATATACTGTACCTTACATTTTCATTGGAAAGTTTAAGAATTTGATTCATTCTTTGAACAGTGTTACTCTTTGGAAAGTGTTCTATGTTTTAGTTATAAAAAGTATGTGATTTTTATTTTATCAGAGAAGACAAAAATTAAACAATTGTATGATCATTTATTTATAAATATGATACATTTTAAGCAGAAAAAATACAGAATACAGATTTTTAACTTGATCATCTAAAATAGTTTGGGCGATCAAAAAAGCAAGCAATGTTAAGCTAAAACATATAAAAGTTGGTAGAAGTTATCTGGGAGTATAGTAAATAAATGTCCTAGTTTATTCAGGCCAGACAGGTTTTCTTGGACATATATGTCATTGTGAAACCCAAAAAAATTGTGGGCAAATTGAGATAAGTTGGTCACTCTAGTTTAGAATGTGAAGGGCAAAGAAGAAGAAAGTGTTTTTGGTAAAAGAAACAACATGAGTAAAGATCCTAGGTATAAATGAGCAGAGTGGTACATCAATGGTTTATGTGTCAGAATATTTTAAAGAAAAAAGAAAATAGAGTACCTGTGGGACTTGAGTCCTGGTTTCATGCTCTAGGATAAGCTCTAGATTTCTAACTGCAAGGTCAGCTGTTCAAACCCACCAGCCACTCCTTGGAAGACTCTACAGGGGCCCTATGAGTTGGAACTGACTCAATGGCATTTAACAAACAAAATAAAGCAACTAGACCTAACATTCCTATGAGGGGCTTCAAAAAGTTTGTGGAAATTTTCCTATATTTTAATTCAAAGTCCTCTAATATATGCAGTATTACACCCAACTACAATAGAATACAAGGAGCTCTGGTAGCGTAGTGGTTACGAATCGGGCTACCAACGGTAAGGTCGGCAGTTTGAAATTAGCAGCTGTTCCACAGGAGAAAGATGAGGCGTTCGGCTCCCGTAAAGATTTACAGTCTCAGAAACCCTGTACAGGGTCGCTATGAGTCGGAACCAACTCCACAGCACATAACCACCACCACAGTAGAATACAGATTATTCTTCAGTACACCTGAATCATTCTCCAGAATAAACCATAGTTAGGTCACAAAATAAATCGTCATGAAAATTTACAAGAGTCTTAAATTGTACAAAGCATCTTTTCCAGCCACAGTACAATGAAACTGAAAATCAATAATAGAAATAAAACTGAAAAATTTTCAAGTCTATGGAAATATTTTTATATTTTAAACAACAAATGAGTTAAAGGGAAAAAAAATCATTAGGAAATGAGAAAGCACTTAAACTAATGAAAGTGCAGCATACTAAAACTGGAACGCAGCAAGGGAAATATTCAGAAGGAAGCGTGTACCTAAAAATACCTACATTTAAAAAAGAGGAAAGATCTCAAATCGATCATCTAACTTTTATCTTTAGAAATTTAAAAAAGAAGAGCCAATGAAAACTACTAAAAGAGTATCTTAGGGTGGGTTCGCTAGAAACAAACTCAATTAAGCTTGTTGTTGTTAATTACCGTGGAGTCGGTTCCGACTCTTAGTGACCCTGCACAGGGTTTCCGAGCCTGTAAATCTTTACGGGAGCAGAACACCTCATCTTTCTCCTGCGGAACCGCTGGTAGTTTCAAACTGCGGACCTTGAGGTTAGCAACCTGATTCGTAACCACTATGCTACCAGAGCTCCTTGTCAATTAAGCTTATACATATGTAAATATTGTTGTTATGTGCCATTGAGTCTGTTCTGGCTCATAAAGACCCTGTGAAGGGTTTCTGAGGAGCGGCTGGTGCGTTTGAATTGACAGCCTTGCGATTCAAACCAACCTTAGGGTCCAGCTCCTTATCCTGCAGCACTACAGAAGGACATACATATATGCATGTATATGTTTATAAATCTTTGGGGTTTTGGTATAACGCTATGGGTTAATTGCACTGAACTGCAAAGTTGGTGGTTCAAGTTCACCAGATGCTCCTCGGAAACCCTACACAGGTTGGCTATGAGTTGAGACTGACTCGATGGCACTTAATAACAACAGCATATATTGTCTTTCATGTTGTTTTCCATGTTGAACCACCAACCTTGACCTTGCAGTTCAAACCAACTTTGCAGACCATTGCATTAATCTACAGCACCACACCAGGACTCCGTCTTTGATGTATATATACGTATATATCTTAAAGAAATGACTCATGCAGATGTAGAGTCTGACAAGTTCCAAGTCTGTGGGTAAGATGCCAGGCTGGAGGCTTCTCCTGACTCACATAGCTATAGGGACTGACATATTCAAGATTGACAGGTCAGTGGCTGATGGGGAGACAAATGAATCCAAAGTCAGCAGGTTAAGATTGCAGGCTGCTGGTTTACAGGCGGAAGAGGCGAATGACTCCCAGATTGGTTGGCAGTGAAGCAGGCTACTTGCTCAAATTCCAATCTCCAGAAATGAGATGTTGACAAAAAGCAAGTTAGCTTTGCCAGAAGGTTCATATATATTAAAAGCTGTTGACACCCCTGAGGAAAATGGCTTGCAGTTGATTGACTGCTCATAGCTGACCTCCTCATGAAAATGATTATGCTGTATCAGATCTCATCGTGGGGAATAGTTACATCATAACTGCCAAATACCGAGAATCAAGGCCCAGCCAAGTTGATAACACAACCTTAACCATCACAGAAAGATATAACTACTGTTGTTAACTGCCGTCAGGTAAGTTCCGACTCATAGCGAACTCTGTATAGGGTTTCTGAGGAGTGGCTGATGAATTTGAACTACTGACCTTGTCATTCAAACCGACCTTGTAGTCCAGTGCTTATCCTATAGTTCCATAAAAGGACTTTAGTTGTTGTTGTTGTTACATGCCATTGAGTAGGTACAGACCCATATCGACCTTATGCACAGCAGAACAAAACACTGCCTGATCCTGGGCCAACCTCACTACTGTTACTACACTTGAGT